AAGTTTATACTAATACGAAAACAATCTTCAAATTTTGATAGGTCGTATAAACTATCAGGGGAAAAGTAATCACGTACCATAAGTTTGTGTGTCGCGATACGATCCCGATCGATCGAAATTCTATGCTTCTTCTCGACATTTGAACTTTCGCCTCTTTGATGCATCGTATCGTGTGCCGCGGACAACAAGGTGTGCAAAACCAACTCATCATCAAAGTCATTATCATCGGATGAAGAAGAAGAAATTGAACCCATAATATTATTCATATTGTATGAAAGTGTGTTTCTTTTGTTGAAAAATATGTGTTAGTGTGTGTGTGTGTGTATATATATATATATATATAGGTTAAGTTTTAAATTTGATTTTTTTATTTCTTCCAACTATTAAAAAACAAAAAACGGTCCAAAAAAGCCACGAACCAATCACATTGCTCGTCTTCGTCTGTAGCCGCTACTATGCCACAAGACACCCACCCATCTTTGGGGCGGTGTTCACGCATGGTTTTCTTTGCCACGTAGGACCTCACGTGTAGGGTGAGGCCCAATACCGGAACGCCTTATCTTTTCCGATCCCTACCCACGTCACCCTCTATTTTCTTGTAGCCATGAAATAAGCTCCAAGGCATCTCTCCCTACATCTCGTCGGACGAGGACCACCGTCGTCATCCCCTGCAACGTCGCACACACCATCGTCGTTGCAGGCCACCATTGCATGCACCGTTAACACCACTGCCCCTTCTCCTCCCTCCCACCCTCTCTGATCTGCCTCCTTCTGCCAACGATGATGCCGCCGCCATTTGTGACAACCGCGAGATGTCCGTCACTGATCACCATTAGGAAAGAGTACGAAAAATAGATGTAATAGCTTAATATTGTAATATTTGATTTTGAGATAATAAAAATCAAATGTGTCGTTACATTCATTTGTTGAAATGACTATTAGGCTAAAAAATAAGCGTCCAAAAAGTTGTATCGTTTTTTTAAGCTGGCTAACATACTTGGAAAGTACTCATTAACGTGATCCCACAGATATAAGATTCGTAAAAATTCGAATCCAAAGGAAAGAGTTATGAATTTTATAAAAATAAAAATCAATCGTGTAATTAAAATTATTTATGTCAAAACAATACTTAAAGATTGGTTGTGTTTTGATTAAAATGGCAAAAAGGAGATTCATAATACTCCTTAAGATAAAAACTTTAGGACAAAGAGTATAAAAAACAGGATCCGTATGAGAGATATGATTTTTGTAAAATCATTTATTTTTACCCTCGTTGAACACAAAATTAGAGTCAAAACCAGCTATAGCAACCTAAAGGAGAGTTGTAGTATCCACAGAGATCATCACATAGATATAAAGAGGGCTTAGATCGGAGCTCTCACGAAGAAGTTATTATTTTTACAAAATCTTTTCGTGCGCATGAGGTGAGCGCCTATGCCCGTCGAGCACCTAACACCAGATTCGAGTAGATTGCGTGTGACGTGGCCAATTGGGGAAGTGACACATGACCTTCTCTGGATGGAGCCACGATGATCACACTCGATGCGCACAGATATTTGCGTCGCGCGCACGCCAAATCCGTGACTATAAATAGAAGGCTGTGTAGATCACTTCTGCACACCATTCTCACACTCTCTCTGCATCTCTTGCAGTTGTTGCCCCTTGGAGCGGTCCCCGGAGTCTCGAGCCCGATTGAAACCTACACCAACGGTCTCACGCGACTAGGGTGAGTTCACGACCCCAATTTCACTATTTTAAATGTTTTACGGGGAGAATACATGTTTATCAAACTGCTTTATCAAAATATATGTATATCTATAAATATCAATCGATTTATAAAGCTTGAAACCTTAGGATAATGTAGTTATAGATACTATACCTAATTGTAAGCTATGATATTATGTCTAAGAGTTATGATGCCCTATAGTCTAGGAAGATATATTACCTAGATGTTATAATGGCCAAATCCGTAGGATAACATAGTAACTAGAAGTAATGTTTGTCAAATATAAGGATATGCACCGTACCCAATCATTACTCTGCCCAAATATCCAGTTATCAAATTAACCATAATTAGGGTATATATGTATGGAAAACAATATATATATAATATATATATATAATATATTATAATATATATATAATAGTAGATAATTATGAGATCTAAAAGATATAATTATCAAATATAAAATTAAAAGAGTTTATATTATGATAGTTATAGAACTCACTAAGAAATATAAAAGATATAAGATAAAAGATAAAATATCTAACTCCTTGAGCTGTTAATATTCATTCTTAGCCTGATTAAATTTGGCTACCCCGAACCTGTAATCGTTGATCTTGCAAGAGCTAGAAAGATATGTATAGATCTATACGAGAATTGACACCCAACTGCAATTGCTAGCTACAATCCCGGCAAGATAACTTTCTTATTAATCCGTATTCACCGTCCGATCAAGCGTCGTGCCGGGGTAATCACTAGTCAAACAACGTCAATTATGGGGGCTGATGGTAATACATTACAACCACCTTAGAGATCCGACTACCAATAGGGACGCCTTAGAGTGGTAGATAAAATACGTTAGGATTAGTAAAACATCCTAAAAGATAGTAAATTATGATTAATAAAATATCCTAAAAGATAATAAGATAAGAAAATGATCGTTAAACATTTTCTTATTTCTCTCCAAATCCTTCCCAATCGGAAGGAAAGTTAGGAGGGAAAACGATCCTTGCATTTTCTTCCACTTCCTTCCACCTCCTTCCTTTAATGAAACTCGTGAACACCAATTTCTTTTATTTTTCTTCTCACTTCCACCCATTTTCTTTCTTTTCTCTGTTAAGTTGAACTTGGGAACGGGCTGATGACCATTTAACTCTTAAGCCCGACCATATGGAAGGTTTTTTTGCTACCTTCTAGGGTTTATGCAACTATAAATATCGCTCACTAGGCGCCATATTCCATACCCCTGATCATTCGATCTTCTCTGCTATCCTCTCTCCCTCTTTCTGTGATTTTTGCTTCTGCAAAATCATGTTTCTTCCGTTTATGAGTAATAACTTTGTGTTTATTCCTTCTCCCATAGTTGTTAGAATGAAGAATAATATGCATCAAATCTTTGGTGTTTACGCTGAAGCTTACAACCTTAGAGCGACGTAAAAACGTTTAAGGACAACTTCTTTCGTGCAGTCGTTTACTAGTCAAAGATCTGCACTTACGATGTTGGTTTTACTTTACTGTTACGTCTTTTAATTTCGTTCGATAACGGAACAGTCTGCCGCTACCCCTTTCTTATAATCATATCTGATCGTGAATGATCAATCTGGTTTCTGGACGAAACCTGTTAATAATAATTGGATTTATTATTTCTAACTAATCGACATATAATTCTCAATATTATTATTATTTGTCGGTTTTCTTGTGTGTCTATTGGATATGATATTCAACTGGTTTAGCCTAAATTTTATTTGGAATTTCTAGAGTTATTATCTAGGGTACCGAATCGTATCACCAAACCTTAAATTTTATTTGGAATTTCTAGAGATATTGTTGAAAAGGTAAACTGTTTGTTCATTGTACTCACCCTAAAGATGGGAATATAGTCCTAAGGCATGGCACAATTGGTTCCATATACTTGTAGAAAATGCCAACTATTTGACTAGCAACAACTTTAGCATGAAAGTTTTAATTAGAATATGAATTTAGCTCGCTTTGATAGTGTGTTTTATGCCAACAACATAGTAGGATATACATGATTTAGCTATTACACGAATCATAAGATGGGATGGTATGGATCAAGTAAGGAAAAACATATGGGACATGTTGAAAAATAATTTAAGCAATTGATTATGAAAACTATGTTTAAGTCTTTACGTTTTTATATTACGATATTGCATATTTTGTTTTCTAAATAACTTAATCAACTTTATATTAGTTTATATATATATATATATATATATATATATATATATATAGATATATATATATATATATATATATATATATAGATAGATACACTAGATGTTTAGTTAATATTACAGCTTTATTTCAATAGGTAAAAAGAACGTCACGAGAATGTATAACGAGAGAAACTAGACAACATTTATTTAAAAACTAACCTTTTAGTCACTGTATTTTGATAAACTCGATATAACTCAAAGTAAATTACAAATTTGGTCCTTATGTTTTATTTAAAATTATAAGTTCAGACTAAATCTTATAATTATTTCAATCTCAGTCTAAATTAAACATAAATATTATATTTGTCAAACTTAATTTTTAAATATCATATTTACCCTTAATAAAAATTTAAAATATCGTATGTCTTTTTTAAATATCAAAATATCATAAATGTCTTTTTTAAACATCAAAATATCAATAATAATATCTAAAATATCTTCTATTCACATTACACAACATGATAATATTCAACAACAACAAAAAGTAAGCCATCAAGGCAAACATTCAATGGAGAGAACTGAAGATGAAACATTTGTTTGTCAAGAAAAAGACATTCCAACAATTTAAAAGTAGACGTTCATCATTATAGATGTAGACATACTATGGTTATATTTTTTTTAACTATTATTATAATTTTAAGATATAAGGCTAAAAAGTGTCATGCTTTTTTTACCAATGGTAAAAGGGCGTCACATAGGGGTCATGTAGATTTTTACAATTTTCACATTTTTACTACAACGTATGGTGTCGTGCCTATGATGTTTTTTTTTTAATTTCATTTTAGAAAAAGATTATTCTTTTTTTTTAAAACCATATTAAAATTTAAAATAACATAAACTTAAAAATTACAATTTAAAAATCCTAAAAACTAAAAAAAAAACATGAAAATTAAAATTACATTGAAAACCTAAAAATTAAAAATAAAACATGATTTTAAAATTTTAAAACCTAGAAAAAAACAAAGCATCGAATTTTCAGTTGTGTTTCAGATTATATTTTTCCGAATCGATGCTTTCATAATTCTTGCCGCTTCTTGATCTCATGGGTCGAGGTGCCTCACGTCTTGCATTAACAACGTATACTCGGTGATTCGGACGGTTTCATCCATATGCCTCTCCAAAGTTGAATTTAATTGTGTCATTTGTGTCATCATTTCTTCCAATCTAGCTGGCTGCTCGGTTCCGACTGAAGAATTTGAAGAAGTCGCTTTCCCTTTTCCTTTTGCTCGAGCTTTTGTTTTGTCCCTTCCCATTGGACGAGGAGGCGGGCATATTTCTTCAATGTCGTCATTATCATCATTAAGATTAACACCTACGCGACCATCCGATGAGACTTGTTGCGAGCTCGAATATGAAGATGTCCGACTTCTTTTCGGCAGATTTGCAATGTCTTCATGTGTTGCAAGTTCCCTCCACCTAATGTTTCTATTGACAACTTCCCGAACATGAATAAACTTAAAAGACTTTTGCATATCATCTTGGAATGTAGTGTGTGTTTTTTTCAACAAACTCACTTCACTTTCTCCGCTAGCCCATTGCTTCTCAAAGTTTGTGTAAATTCCATTCCATTGTGTGAAGACTTTGTTCATAAGATTCCATTTGGAGTTACATTGGTCGGAGGTCCGATAATCTGGACTTCGACTCATTCCCCTACAAAAGCGCTCTGTGATACGTAACCAAAAGTGATCACAATTTTGACCCTTTCCCGTGCCACCATCTTCAGATATGTCGACCTATGCCCTTGCTAACTCAACTTCTTCTTTTTGTGTCCATCTTCTCGGATCAGCCTTCCCTTTCTTTTGTTGTTGAGGTTGTTGTTGCTATTCTTCGTGTTCGGTTGAAGGTGTGAAGGGAGGTTGGGATGGAAATTGGGTTTGAGATTGAGATTGGAAATGGAATTGTTGGGGCATTTGAAATTGTGAATAAGAGCTAGGAACACCATCCATTTGTGGCCGGTAAGGTGGTGTTGATGACGGATCGTAGTCGAAAAGTGAGTATTCGTTGTTAACATTTTGGTTTGGAGCATTTTGTTTGGAAGAGTTTGGATTGTTGGAAGAAGACATTTTCAAAGTAAAAATTGTTGTTGAGAGTGTATAGTGGTGATTTTTTAAAATGTGATTTGTATATATAGTAGATTAAAAAGAAAAAAAATGAAATATGCCAAAAACTAGCCGTTGCCGACCGTTTGACAACGTTCCATTCTTAAAATCGCCACAAAAATCACACATTTGCCATCGGTAAAGGACCACCGACGGTGAAATCCCCTTCACGAAGCAGTGTTCACCGGTGGTGAAAGGGCGCCACGTCGGACACCGCCGGTGTCCCCTGTACGATACCGTTCAACCTAAAAATGATTATAAACTATTAAAAACATTGTAAAAACGGATTTGGGCAGATATGATATTTTGAAGGTTTATAAAAGATAAATATGATACTAGAAAATTAAGTTTGACAAATATGATATTTTAATATTTAAGAAGGAAATATCTTAAATTCTCTTTATTTTTATATGGTATATTCATTAAAAAAATTGAAAAATCAAAGGAAAATATTAAAAAAAAAAATTAGACTAAATTTGAAATTTAAATCATCTGTATAATTAATATATTCAGTTATTTCTTTTCATAGAAAATATAATTACCCAATTTACTAAAATGGGCCAATAAAAACACCACACGAACACAACTATAATCTGTATTATAGTCGAGGCCCAATTCATCTGGGTCCACTTTGTAGCCCAATTATGTTAGTTTTAGACAATGGGCCCACAAACAGCACACTTTTAAATACTCACTCTCCCTCTCACCGCCGGGAGAACCCTCTCACTGTCTCCCTCATTCTCAATCGTAAAACCATTTCAAAAAAATTAGCAGAACGTTCCTCCGCCGTCGTCGGCGGAGCTGTGCAGGATGACAAGCTCAAAACAACACCCTAAGCTTCTGTCCAAACAACTCTCATGGTCTCCGGACATCCACCGCGACATAGAATGGCAGAAGCTTAAGATCAAACAGCTACGTCGTTTCCGCCACCGCCGCAGCAAGAGCATCGACGCTTCTCCTGAAGTTGACGTCACTGATGATGATTTGAAGGAGCTTAAAGCGTGCTTTGATTTAGGTTTCGGTTTTGATTTCTCTAGCGATTTGGATCCGAAACTCTCGCAAGCTTTTCCCGCTCTAGAATTGTACGCCGCCGTTAACCGGCAGTACAATCGCAGACTCCTGTCAAGGTCTTCGTCGTTAAGTTCTGATTCATCTTCAACCTCATCAACCCCCATCTCCACACTTATCGATCCAAGTAAACAAAATTTCGTATTCCGATTACTTTTTTTTTTGTTTTCGTAAATCTCGATTAAATCCAGTTCTGATTTGAATTGTTATACAGGCGATGATCCGGAAAAGATGAAGACGAAATTGAAACAGTGGGCGCAAGTGGTTTCGTGTTCTGTTCATGAAGCTTCTTCACAATCACAAATCACAACCAGTGACAAACATAATTAAGAGTTAGGAGATTTATATAAGGTACAATTCGGTATAACTTTTGTGCCTTTGTCATAAGAAGAATCGAATGTACATAAGTTTATCAGTTCAAAAAAACTCCATTGATGAAAAGAAGGAATGGACATCAAATTCTATCTAATCCGATAGAACATTCCACCCAAAAACTTTCAATAATTGAATAAATTATGTACAAAATCTTAACATTGAAGTTGTCTAACTGAAATAATGATTACTTCTTCTTGTTCTTCTTCATGTCTTCTTCATAATTCATGAATCAATGGAAATAGCATCCGATCTTTCGAATGAAATGAAAAATCAATGATTTATTTGTTAATTGTTAATTGTAATTTTTTATACAAAAAATGTGCTTTCTGTTACGTGGTAAACACCCATCCAAGAAGACACACATGTTTAACAAATCAGAAAAAGGTGAGAATGAGTTTTGCTTGACACAAGAATCGCAAAGCCAAATTTCACTTTCACGTGAAAATAGTTCCCAAAATTTGTTTTATATCTGTCTTCAACAATTGAATCTTTCTTTCTGACATATCCAAGAAAAGGGACCACGCTTTTTTGCTTTCAATAAATAAACCCAAACAAATCATCATTTTCTTTCTACCTTTTTAGTTGCAAAAATGCATCACACATATTGCTTGTGATTTGTGAACTAACTTTTTCCATTAAAAATATCTTTGGGTAAATATTTCATTAGTCTTTTCTTTTTTATATACTTTTAACAAAAAAAAAAAAAAAAAAAAAAATTAACCTTATACCATCTATAAATTATTTTAGCCTTTATTTCATGTAATATGAACAATTAAACACAAAAAGTAAAATAATAATTAGACAATATTAATTTGCAAATAACTATGGACACAATTGGTTGTTTTTTATTTTTTCAAAAAATAAGAGAAGAAAAAAAAGTACACGAAAACTTGTAACAAGTCTCCTAGATGAAGTGCACTTACCCCAATTTGAGTCAACATAAGTAGATAAAGACAAGAATTAAGATTTGACAATACTAATATCCTCTCCATGTGCACTTTTTATATATCTTAGAACCTAACTATCTAGTTCAAGATGAGATTACGTTAGAGAATATAAGTATATGATTACATAATCTCTTGTAATAGCGACATATATGAGTTTTCCAACTAATTTTTGGTATCCAATCATAATTATCACAATTTAATTCAGTCACCGATAGTCAAAGTTAAACTCTATATGAGTGTTAATCGGGCTTACACGTATTTCTTTGAACTTAATGTCAATTATTATTAATAGTTAAAGAATAAACACAAAAGACGATTATTAGTTTGATAACATGCAAAAAGGTTTCACCATAGTGCAAAATTTCTTTCTGACAAAAAAAAAAAAGTAATTCTTTGAACTTAATTTCACAAGATGATTTGTATTTAATCTTATTTGCCCACTTACACTCAATAATGTTCTGCTTGAACCAAAGACAAACATTAAGATTTGACAATACTAATACCCTCTCCATGTGCACTAGCTATATACCTTAGAACCTAACTATATAGTTGAAGATGCGATTATCTTAGAGAATATGCGTATATGATTATATAGGGTCTTGTAATAGCGACATATATGAGTTTTCCAGCTAATTTTTCGTATCAAGTCATATCAAGTAAAGAATTGTTACAATTTAATTTGCAGTCACCGATAGTCAAAATTAAATCCATATAAGTGTTAATCGACTTACAAGGAGACCATGTCCACATATAATAGATTAAGATAATATTTACATTAGAACAAACATAAACCTTGATTAGTTTTTAGAACTTAAATTCCATAAAATACTTTAAAAAATCTATGGTTTATACTCGAAAATTTGAATTTGAAGAAATATTTTACACCTTTGACTTCTTGATCACTATTTTTAGTGTTAATAATGTTTGTCCACATAAACCAACAAAACAATAAACAGGTTTGTATCAAATAATATAGATGGAATAATCGAATCTTATTTGCTTAATACATGCTCACAAGAAAGAAGTTTCATTCTATTGTTTAAGAGTTTAAGTAAGTCCCTAAATAGACTTAATAAGTTCACAAAAATAGTATTGTTTCTTTTTTAAATAAATAAAAAGGAGTATAATTCTTCATCAAGTTATTTATATAAAAAATCATTATTAATGTCTAATTGATACAGTTTCTAATTATTATTAGTAGTTAAAGAATAGACACAACCAATGATCATTAGTTTGGTAACATACAAAAATATTTTATTATAGTGCACATCCTCTTTTTGAGAAAAAAAAAATCTCTAACAACAAGTAATTTTTTGAACCTTTAATTCACAAGATGATCTCTATTTAATTTTATATGCCTACTTACACCCGACAATGTTCTTGCTTGGTGGAAATACGGTAATAATTCAAGTACTATTTTCATAAAGTGTATCCACTTTATCGTTCATGGAATAAATCTGATATTTATCCTTATAGTTTGCGTAAGATATTTCCTTCCACGATATAATCATTAAAATGTTTATGTAGATGTAGATTTTCACTTGACATCCTAAAACTATAAATCCCTATTAAATTATCATTATTTCTTATTAAAGTTTCACTAAAACTCATTAAGAGGTTCTTGGAAAAAAAATACCCTCACATCTAGAAAAAAATATCCACCCTAGAATTCGTAAATACAATTACATTATCACTTTGAAACACTTAGTAGTCTTTTAAGTTGATTTTTTTGGAAGAATAAAGACTTACAAACATTTTCAAAATTGTAGGGATAAATATGTGTCTACTCCTCTTAATATGTGTCTACTAGTGACCCTCTATGGCCCAACAACATCCAAATGGACCATTTCAAGTCCACACCATTTATGAACACTTAAAGAGAATGGTTCATGTGTTTGTTTAGCTTTTTAAAGTTTTGTTTTCAAGAAAAATCAACACATTATCATATTGGTAACATAGTCTATGGTGTTAAGTGTCCAACACAACAAGTAGCAAGTAAATTCACATTTTCACTCTTATGTGAATTGTAGCAATCAATATAATAAATAGCCCCCCTTCCATTCTATATTGTCCATTTTAAACATAAAACCTAAACATAACACTAGTAAGATTGACAAAACCTTTATATTATTTTAATACCCCTCAATCTTAACGTCAAATATATCAATTATAAAAAAAAAAAATTATTGCATAAAGAATGACATTAAGCTAAAAAAATGATTTAGTGGAAAGGTCAATTTCACATTTACAATTTAATTATAGCTTCCAATGTTTCATCTCTAATAAATAAACGTAAATATCATTTTTCAATATGTTTAGTTTTTTTTTTTCATAAAACACAAGGTTTTGCTGGCAATATAAATTGCGACCCTATTGTCACAATGCAATAAAATAAAATTCGATCCAATTATATTCAAATCATTTATAATTTTATTACACATGTTATTTTTCAAGTGATTATGGACATCACACTATATTCGGCTTAAGCTGAGAATCTGGACACAATTGGTAAACAATAAGAG